ACAAAAGGGCATGTAATATTGCTGTTAGAGCAGAGCTTGGTAGTTATCCCCTAATTACTGAAATTTGTACCTAAATGTACAAGTTTTGGTTAAGAGTAAAAAGTGTACAATCAATAGTAATTCATGGGCAAACTTTGTTAGCAAACTACTTGAAATAACTCGATCAAATGAAACGGATCATAATGCTAACATTTTTAGAAACAATCTTAAAAGAATTTACTATGAAAAAATTTGGTTGCCAACTCTATTCCAAAAAGGAACTTAATAAACTACGTATTTACAATAAATACAAATCAGATTATGAATTTGAACCATATCTGAATAAAATTAATAATTTAAATCACAGAGTAAGTGTAACCAAATTTAGAATTTCAGCACATAAATTACCAATTGAAAAATTAAGATACCAAAAAATACCCTCAGAGCAAAGATTTTGCACACTGTGTTCTGATCAGTCTGTTGGTGATGAAATGCATGCTCTTTTTGACTGCAAACTGGATGAAATTGTAAAGGCACGTAGCTACTTTTGGAATACTCTATCATTATACAATGATAATATTTTAAAATTACCAAAAGAAGATATGTTTGTGCATATTATGGGAATAAAAGACAGTTTCATTGCCAATAGTCTAGGAAAGTTTATTAACATAATTTTACAATGTAATACCTAATAGTTGTTAGTGTTATTTGTTTTAACATTTTACAGTATTTTGTTTTAATATCTGTATTTCTTGTTATTGTTTTTTTTTTTGTGTATGGTTATTGACCATGGTTAATGTACTTCCAATTCATTAATTTGAGTCAAATAAAATATACTATACTATACTGTACATTCTTTGTTTACACGAAATTTGAATGCTCCCATGGCGACCAGCGCCCTCTAAAGTTACACACGTATAAGGTATTTGTTCATAGTTAGTAATTGTTATTGCGGACAGTTCTTGTGTATTTTATTCAAAATACTGAGTCGGAGTTCAGAAATGAATATATACAAATTGCAGCAAATAGTTGGGAGTTCGTCCTACTTAGTGCGGCTTTGTAAATATACATAATGTACGTGCGAACACGATTAAAACGAGCCACTAAAAACATCGCAGAAATTGGGGGATTTGGTCCATATAATAACTTTTGTAATTCACACGTATATGTTATCAAATATTTCTCACAACACAAATAAACCTTAAAGTACTTTAATCTCAATTCGTGCAACGACATCTATTGAACAATTTATACTTGTACTACAGTCACCAAATACAAACAATCTTATCACTCTCTGCAAATATTTAGTTAAATCTAAACAAGACTAATTCTTTTATTTTGTCATGTTCTTTTATATTTTTTACATATTCTATGCTACATACAGTGATACTTACATATCACAGTATTTTAATATTTCTTATATTATTAATAATTGTCTGTAGTATTTTTGTCGTTCACTAATTTTGAATTCTTTTTAAATCAATTTTTACATTTCATGTACATGTACTTTTATTATTTACTTTATTAATCTGAAAACCTAAAAGGAAATGTTAACTCTTTCTTTACGGTATTAATAAAGCATTATTCTATTCTATTCTATTCTATTCTATTCTATTCTATTCTATTCTATTCTATTCTATTCTATTCTATTCTATTCTATTCTATTCTATTGTTGAAGTGGCGAGAGAATTTGTGAATTTTGTTCCATCGTCATTTCGTTATATCATGGAAGTACCTTCCATGGTTATATCTAGCGTGAGTATCAGGATAGTCCTGAATACAGTCCTGTAGGTTGGCCACCTTCCGCTGATCATTTGGCCCCCATAAGAAATCATATGTAATTTAGCTTCCAGTTAAGTTATTTGGAATAGTTAGACGTATTGACCTGCTTATTTTTTAGCTGCAAAGCTGAATGCCTCTTAAATCGCCCGATACAGCCCTTCAAACGGTGTCGAATCCTCGGTCTATGCGACTTTTCTGGACTGTGGGAGCCGAATGATCAGCGGAAGGAGGCCAGCCTACATGACTGTACTCAGGGCTAGTATCAGGAATAGCGCCCTCTTATACCCTCTGCATTGTTGCTCAGTCCTTCAACATTGAGGGACTTCGATTGTTGCTAGCAGAAATATGTTTATTTTTTGTTGTTGTTTATTTGTTCGTTTCAGCAATACCAGCAGAAGTCACTACGACACTGCCCGATGTAGACGGCATCAGACGATGCGTGACGTATACCATACATTCAGATACTGCAACGTGGGATGAGTCTACCACCACTTGCGAGAATGATGGTGGGTACCTTGCCAAGATCATCGACAGTCGAACGCAACAACTGTTAAATACCAATCTCGATCCACTCAACGCTTATTGGCTCGGAGGAAATGATAAAATCACGGAGGGAACATGGGTGTATGGCGATTCCAAAAGTGATAAAGTTTGTTACAACAACTGGGAGACAGGTGTAACGCCACAGAATGATAATGAAGACTGCGCACTTTTAAAATGGTGAGTGGAGGGTATTTTAATTTGTTAACAATGGATGCGATATTAACTCGGTGTGAGTATGGTAGGATTAAATACATTATCCCAACACATCCACAAATAATATATATATATAATTACATCGAGTTAGTTAAGCTAGTAAATGATGACATCACGTTGCCATGGCATCATGTTGTCATGTCAAATTACACGCGGATTGAATGGCTCTTTTCTTCAGCAGTATACAGTTTAACGTGACGTAATGTCATTTGTCTTTTCTCCAGGAATAATGGTGGCTTCGTATGGGAAGATGAAGTGTGTTCTATGACAGCCAACTATATCTGTTCTACATCCCAGGTTTACTCGGGATGAATTAGTTGTACACTACAGCGGCGCATGCACACAAGCTATGTTGATCAGTTGTTTTCATCAAATTTGATCATCTTTAAAACTTTATCATTCTTAATATATAATTACGAGAGCTGTATAGATTTCAATATAGCAATGTATTCTCAACTGTTTACCAATTTTACTGACACTTCAATGAACAGAATAGAACTAAATACATAACTTGTTTGTACTCGAGTTCTTCTTCTTCGATGGGTTGTATATAGGTATCACACTATAATTAAGCTCAATGTAGACAACATTGTAACTATCGTACTGTAAAATACTTTATTTTAGCTGGAATTAATTTTAGCTGAAAATACTTTTTGGGTGTTTTGTATGGAATTTATTTTCACTGATTTTTAGCTCTGCTGTCGACGAAGTCGAGCGGAGCTTATAGTATTACTGATTGTCTGTCGGCGTCGCCGTCGTCAACTTTACATTTTCGACTTCTTCTTAAAAACCACAAACTGTATAGCTGTGAAACTTTCCAGGAAGGTACCTTGGGTGGTTCTCTCTCAGATTTGTTCATTTTGTGATGATATCTTTAATTCTCTAATTTTGATGAATATTTTTTTCATTTTTGGTAAAAAGTGATATTTTCGACTTCTTGTTAAAAACCGCAAGTCCGATTGTTTAGATATTACATATCTAGGTACTACATGTGGACCTCTCTCAGATTTGTTCATTTCGTGATGATATCTTTAATTCTCTAATTTTCATGAATATTTTTGTCATTTTTGGTAAAAAGTGATATTTTCGACTTCTTGTTAAAAACCACAAGTCCAATTGCTTTGATATTACATATCTAGGTAATACATGTAGACCTCTTTCAGATTTGTTCATTTCGTGATGATATCTTTAATTCTCTAATTTTCATGAATATTTTTGTCATTTTTGGTAAAAAGTGATATTTTCGACTTCTTGTTAAAAACCACAAGTCTAATTGCTTTGATATTATATAAACTACATAGGTACTACAGGTAGACCTCTCAGATTTGTTCATTTCGAGATGATTTTGTTCTTCAAAACAGCAAGTCTGCTTGCTTTAATACTATACATGTTGTTCATTTTCTAATAATACCTTCAGTTCATTAATTGAAATGTGCATGAATAACAGCGGAGCTATCTCAGCCGACAAGCTGCTAGTTGGCAAGTTAAATGTAAAAGACAGCAAAAAAAAGGTATATTTGCTGGATTTTATTTTCACTGAATCATTTCTTCAGCGTAAATTAATTCCTATTGAAAATAAAATATTTCATAGTACTTAAAAAGCAGGATTATGTTACACAACTGCGGCAAAATTTTCTCAAAATTGAAACGAAAATAAAATCTATTCTCATTGTTTCTAATACATGTAGCAAACATTTTTGTCACAACTTAAAATGCCCCCCAAAACATACTATTGAATGTCAATTGAAGATAACATGTTTTATGATAAACAATGAAATTCTCTTATGTGCATGCGTACTGGTATCAATCATTTTTAAAAAGAAAACGGACATCATCTTAGAACTGTGTTACTATGGCAACCAATATATGATCTTCACAAAAAATCTCTGTAGACAAATTAATGATATTCTTTCCCAATCGATTGTTTTGACCCTGAGGTATTGTTCTATTTTCAGATGACGTGAAGTTTCGTCACACTTCCTAAGGTGAGAGTATTACTTAACTTCAGATGAAGTGACATTTTGAGCACATGTCATAAATTCCATAAACGATTGTAGTCATCGAAATTAACTTGACTATTCATAATCATATTGAATGGATTAAAAGAAATAATATAATAAAATGGTCGTTCCTGAACCAGTTTTGATGGCAACAAAATAATTAATCAAATAATGAACAGCAGATTTCGTTTTAATATTATATGGCGTGAAGCGTTACATTGAACTTTACGGTAGTCGAAGCACATATGGCCTGTGTATTGAATTTAATACTACGGTAGTACTTGTCGCTGCAAGGTTTCCATCGCAGTTGTTGTGACCATTTACTACATTTGTAGTAAAATTAGTTCATGTTGACTACAGGGTGTTGCTTCAGAAGATGACATCATCACTCTATTTTCTGCAAAGTAATTATTACTTAAATATAGGTTTGTTTTCACGCAGCAAGATTACAGCTATAACATTGAGGTGTTCAGCTTTCCACCACAGGAGGCACCAACATCACAACAGTTTTGTCTCCTACATATACGACACTGAAACCACTATCAAAATATTGCTACGTATATTAGGTCTATAGAAAAAAAGTTACTTATTAAATATAAGTATGTTGTAGACTGCAAGAACAATGGTCAATGGTAACGCGACACTCGATTTGCTCCCTGGTAGTAGAACATTGTCGGTTTTGAAAACTGGTATTTTTGGTGCAATGTTTGTTTTACCTGTAGATAATTTGTATGTATAGGATCATCAAGTTATAGGGGCCATATATCTGCAAATGTTGAAAAGTTTTTATTTTCAAAAGTTTACCTAAAAGACTTATATCATGACAAAACCAGCAATAATCGTCATACATGTACTATCATTGTGACTGTGCCCTTTTATAGTTATTTAGCTTCGGGAACAGCAAAGTGCCCATTAGCTGTCCTATTATGTAAGCTCTTCCAGTCGCCTATGCATTCTTGTAAACTCCAGTCTCATTCTTTCATTCATATCACTTAGCAACAGATGCAAATGCCAAGTAAACACTGCAGCAAAAGCCTAAAAGATACGACTTTGAACTGAATGAAAACAAACAAGTTGTTCTAGTGAAACAATAGTAACTTTATTCATACCGATACAAAATGGCAGTGTATTGGATTCAAAGGTAGAAGAACCAAGAATTGTGTTTAATGAAAATTCAGTTGCAACAAATTATCAATAATTATCTAAAAATGACAAATACAACCATGAATTCTCACAATTCAGTTCAACTACCACAACATTCAAAATAAATACTTGTACAAGTCTCACATTCTCAAGGTCAGACATCCTGGTACTTTGACATAAAATCTCTTCAAATCTGTAAATTTTGAATTGGCAGTGGAAGAAATGTACGTGACCTTCATATAATAGATCAAGTTGCATTAAGAAACAAATAAAACAAAAGAAACATGCCCATTTGATACAGGTGGCAGTGATGGCATTTCCAGCAAGGAAATGTGTATTAATTTCTTAACAATATATGTAACAAATTACTTCAACAAAACTCTGTAAAAGATTACATTTATAAATTCTATTTAGTCAAACTATGGCACTGTTAAACATCTTGTAAAATACTCGATTGTATCCAATCCCAATCATCATGCCCCCCCCTCTCAAACACATACATGCGCCCCAATTACAAAAGTGAAAATGTAAGCTATAAGGCATAGCTAGATACAAATTAAATATTTTAAAAAAAATAATCGATCTTTCCCAACCAAAAACTATACTATCGCACTTGACAAAATGATTTAAATCAAACTTTTCTACGGTTGAGCAAGAGGTTTCAATTCATAGATTGTCTTGCCTGAAAATATTTAAATTAGAATTCACACAGAAAAAAAAATTTACTGTTACATATAAAATATTAATTCCTTCTCACTTCCAAAAACCCCCGTCAAAATTTGTATTCTGCATGTTTTCATTTCTTGTAATACAAATGTTCTGTCGTAAATCAAATGTTTCTAATGTAGTTCTACTTCCAAAGTAAATCTCTTGACCATCTGTACTACTACTTGAAAAATGGCAATTTACCGTTTTCATTTTGGTTAAAATGTCAATGGTCCAGATGGTTACCAATGCAAATAGGAAATTTTTATACGACACCATATACATGAAGGTTTTGTAAAAATGAGTGTGGTAGACAACTCCTGCATTGTTAACCTGGAGTTACAGATATATTGTAAAATCATTTGTTATCACTGTTATTTAATTTCACTATTTTAAGCAATTTTACTGGGTTTTAATTTCACGAACTTGGCAGAGAAACAATGAGTTATATTGTTATTCTGCATGTCTAAATACTTTAATAAACTTTACTCATTAGTGAAAATAGCAAAATTAAAAACCAATGCACACACATTGAAATCCCCCGATTGTCGACTTCATCGGAAAGTAAACTTCCATATACGGATGGTCATGCTTTACTGTGTATAAAACAAAAAGCCAAACATCTACATCTCCTTTACACATTAAAAAATTCATGATCAAAAAAAAAAGTTATAATAGATACAAGATTACATTTTATCTAACCATCAAATTTGTAAACTAATCTACAGTTTTGATGATAAAGTTTGGAACTAATCTTGCATAATGACGGCAACATGCTAACAGTTGGTGGCAAGGCAACTAGAAAACAGATATTAATTAAAAGTAAAACCTGTCTAAACTGAACTTCAACAAGAAATCTTTCTAAATCAAACATTCTTGCAAATACTAAAGACCTCTACAACCAAATAATGAACTACATCCCATGGGAATTCTGTATAGATAGGCCATGAGAGCACTACAACTGTTCTTGAAACAAATCACAGATTATTGAGATCTCAGAAGCAGTCATAAACTGGGCTCAGAATTTTAATGAATTCTAACAAAAAAATGATTGTCATATGGCAAATATATAGTACCATGAAACTACTAATAATATTGTATTTCAAATATAATTTTGCAATTTTTACTAACTCGCAAAATTGTGTCTCATGAAATCAAAGGAGCCACAATCCTCGCACAGCTAGCAGTTGAATTCATGTACACAATGCAATTCACTAGCATTATATACACGTTGCATGGAACTCGTATCAAACACGGCGACTGTGGCACTTTGAAGTGGTTACAGAATTTTGCAATGCTGTATATGATGCCATGCAATGCATCTGCACATTACTGGACAGAACAAAACAAAATTTGCAACATGATAAAATATATGCATATATGTCATATATATATATATATGCCAGAAATTTCAACTTATTAAGAAATGAATGAATCGTTCAGTCAGAATCAGACAGGGCAGCATCATCAAAAATCTATAAAAAAAAAAAAAAAGGAGGAAGGATTATTGTAACTACAGTAAACATTGTTCTCAGCACAATTATTAGTAATAAACAATTTTGCCAGTGGCTTTCAAAAATGGATTTTTTTTTTAGAGAACATAGAAATTTCTTTGTGTCATGTAATTCTATTAAAATATTGGTAATAGCTGAGTATGAATAAGTTATTATTATTAATTCTTACGTATGACAGAAATAACTTTAAAATATAATCATAAACTTACCACCATAAGATTTTTTGGTTCTATTCCTGGTTTAATAGGAATATCATCATTATCTAGTAAACTATTACCATTACTACTATTGTTAGGTGTATGAGATGGGTGACCAATAGAACTATTGATGGAGCTTGGAGTACTTGGTGGAGTGTATCTGAAATCAATGACAAAAAAAATCATACTGCAGTGACTGCACCATTGAATATATTTATGATATACCAGGGTTTTTTCTAGAAAAAAACTGTAAGAGGGAGCACTGCAATTCAGCAGCGCCACTAAGTGGGAGAGATAGGGTTCTCCCTACCAGGATGTGGAGTTTTTGATAATTCTAAGTTAAAACGGAGCATTCTATGGCTAACTGCTTGGGGTTTGTGATCGCGTCCACTCTTGGCGAGTCTATATTGCATTAGGGGACATAGAAAGTTTTTTACACATCCTCAGGCTGGTACATGTCTGGATTCCCCTGAATGATTTGAGCTGAAAATGGCCACAGTCAGCTGACGTGATAATATTATAAATGCGATTAATCCACCGATATTTATTATACAAGGTTAACTTGAACACTACTTGAAACTAAATAGACAAGTTGAGAAACAGTTTCCTACAAATCAGGGAGAAAATAAGGAACTTTCACACTCAAACGATCCATTGGGCTAACATTAAACCAACCGCTGAAAAAATCAACTTCATTCGTCGTTTTTGTGTGGACACAAAGAGCATAGAACACTTTCCCTGGTATATTTGAAAGCAAAATCGCCATCCAACTATAAGGCAGTCGCAGATTAGCTCCTTAAGTATGAGGATCGTCCCCTACTGTTACATAGACTCGTCTTAAGTGGGCGTGAACACAAGACAGCACCAGCGAGATTCGAAAGCCAACCATTTGGTCAAAACCCAAGCAATTAGCCAATTCGCTAGCGAGTTTTGCAAATTGGCTGCCCAATACTTCTGAGACTTGCTGTAAAATATCAAAACAATCATGATGACTGTTTTCAAAGAGACATTAGAAATAGTTCACTAAAATTAGATAACAAAGGTTAACATCACAAATATTTGATCGAGAAAGCCAACAGCAAAGTTAAAAAGTATATACTGTTCAGCATATTCTAAGAAATATTTATTGTGTACATGCATTGAATAGAACAATTTGAGTTAGATCATCTTTAAAAGCTGAAACATACCTTCCAAGTTTAGTATCGTAAGTACCATTTATAGGTGAAGAACTCCATGGATTTATTGGCAGTCGGTAAGTTTCTGCTATAGATGGGCTGAATACTAATGAATTTCTGCAAGTACAAAAATTAAAGGAAAACCTATCAAAGTGTGACAACAATAAAGTTATATTGACTCCAATATTTTATTGGAAGCCCTTGACATGTAAATTATCGTATTTGTACAAGCAGAAGTGCAAATAAACCAAAAATAGCATTGTTGTATACTGATTATTAAAAAAAAATCTATTTTGACCATAGAAGCACCTCTAATTTACATAAGTGTATGTATGTATCATATGGAGCAATTGGACAATATACAAGTCAGACGTTACACCAGAAATTCTTTTAATGAGAACATATCACCTGGTGAAATTTTCCACAGATAGCCAAAATGAATGGAAAAAAAATGTCATTAGCAGGCAAGGTGATGTCAGGTCTGTGATGCTCACGAGACCGTGAGACTCATGACTTGTTTGCTACGAGTTTTCTCTAATAATAAGTCGGTTCCCATACCCTACTCAGTGTTCTCCCCAGGCCTCTGAAGCGACACGGTACCGTGACGCTTGGACACTCGGTCGTGATGCTTGCCCTTTGTCCGTGACGCTTGGTCACTCAGCCGTGATGTTTATATTTTTGTTTACAAGTGTCAGTCTCGTCTTGCACGTATTTAAAACAATAACATGTATTGATCGATTTAGGTAATCCCGCTTTTGTTAGCCATACAAAGACAGTGATAAAAACGGAAGTCTGCAATATGTTGCGAAGTCTTTCAAAGGTGCAGAGCCTCCAAATCATAAAAAAATAACTAGAATAGCAATAATTTGCCCATTGCACGCAACGGCAACAATGTGACAAAACAAGTCACGGCGTACGTCGGGAAGATCAACCCCATTTGCTGCACTCTGATTTGTTATCACTCAATC